AGCACACCAAAAAAAAACCCCAAAAAACCAAAACCAAAACACACACACACACACACACACACACACACACACACACACACACGAGCAAAAAATAAATAAATAAATTGGGAGAAGTGTCAAGCCAAAGTACACTTAACTCAATGTGCTCTGTGGAGGAGTTCCAGGTGGCACCAGAGGTTGTTACTCAAGTACTAAGGAAAATCTTCGTGGTTTGAGCTCACCTGGCCAGTGGAACCTCAGAAAAAAGGCCTGGCAATCTGCTTCTGCAAGGGCATGGCCTTGATAACTCTAGAGTGCAGTTCAATTCTGCCACACACAAGGTTGTTAGGAGTTGGAAGGGACTTGATGGCAATGGAGTCCCTGAGCTCCCTCTTCATTCTCTTCTGCTGGGCCTTTGGCAATAGAAACTTTCTTAGGTCAGATTCAGGTCATGGGAAAAGGGTCCAAACGCTCAGAGAAAGGAAGGCGCAGGGCCCAGGGAGATGGATTTTCACCAAGCACAAAGTTCAACCCAACTGTCTCTGGTTCTCAAAATCTCTGGAGTGATTTACTATCTGCTTGACCACCTTCTCCAAACTAGATGCTGGCCAGATGTTTCCTCCAAGGTTGGGAGGTGGCTCTGACATCCGGAGTATGCAGAACATGCTGGAGCTGCGCATGACTTCTATGCATTCTGGGGACCCCTCTTCAACAGAGGCTTTCATTTCCATGGGAGCCCCTCTTCATCTTGCACATTAAAAGTTGTATCATGTTCTCCAATTTTGCTGCCCAACTGCCTGGAAGTGTCGTCTTTGTTCTGAAAGCTTAAAATATTTTCAATATAACTTCATAAAGCTCTATTAATCTAAACTTACACTGTTCAAAACCATTAGCCACATGTGGTTATCTAGATTAAGTAGATTGAAAAATTCAGTCCCTTCATCCATTAGTAACAGTTCACATGCTCACTAGCTACAAATGGCTACAGATCTCAAACATGCCCATTTGTGCTGAAATGCCTATGGGATGTTGCATAGCTAACATCACAGCCAGACATTATGTGCCTCTAGATGATGGTGGTACAGTGGCCAAAACACTTGGCTACTAACCAAGAAAGTGAGTGGTTTAAACCCACCAACCTCTGCAGGAGAAAGACGTAAGTGGAACCTACAGATGGAAGAAACCTGAGCAATATCAATGTATGAATATGATTTAGATCTCAGCCCAAATTATAAGTCATGTAACTAGGAACTTTAGCAAGGATTACACACAAACACACACCCCCCCCCCACACCCCTTCCATTGCTATAGTCAATTCTGACTCTTGGTAACCCTCCATCCCATTTCCAAAGCTGCAAATCTCAACGGGAAGAGACTTCATCTTTCTCTAGTAGAGAAGCTGACAGATTCAAACTTCTGACCTTTCAGGTTACTCCCCAGCACCTAACCTATCATGCCAGCAAGGCTCCTTTTGACACGTATGTTTATACTCAATTCTCATTACAATTGAGTAAGGACTGACTCACGCCGAGCCATCAGCAGGTTCAGAGAATGTACACACCAAGGAGACTGCCCGTCTTTCTGCCCTGGAGCAGCTGGGGGAGCCCAACCCCCTGCCTTCAGGCTGGCAGTGCACCTCTACCCACTAGGCCACCAGGGCTCCTTGAAAATAATTTCAAGGCACGTAAAATAGTTATTTCAGTTGTTGTTGTTGTGTGCCATTAAGAACTGACCCATAATTGACCCTCTTGCATGTTTTCAGAGGCAGTAAATTACATGAGAGGCGACCGTTCTTCTCCCGGAGAGCAGCTGGTGGCTTAGAACCAAGAGCTTTTGGGATTGCAGTGAAGCTTCTTTCTACGTGGTTTTTAAAGTCCTTGAGATTCCTATTCAAATACTCACAGAAGACAAAAGATTGGAATTTACTTCAGAATATCCAGGAAAAGGGACAGCATTGGGGGTGGGGGTGGTAAACCTGGGTGTGAACTGGTGGTTACTGAGCCTGAGTACATGGCTGTGGAGTGCACACCATTAGACTTCCATGCTACTGTTTCCAAAACTGACTGGCTTCTGAGTTCTGTGATGCCTATCTTCCTGTGCATTGCCCCCGCCCCCCATACCTTGATTCTGTTAGGTCAAAGTCCAAGATGGAAACAAATACTCCTTTCAGAAAGATATCTCATGGCTCTGGCATTGAGAAGACCAAGGTTGAGGGAGGTTTACAGCCCGACCAACGACCAACACCTTCCATCTTGCACCTGCTCTGAGGAACCTCCCTGAGGGACATGCCCCTGCTTTAAAGAAATGGCTTGGCTGGCCTCCACCTGGCCTAGCACTGAACCCGAGGAGACGCTGCCTCTGTGCAACCTACTACTGCCCTCCAGGCTCTGATCAGCCCCATGCTAAGCTCAATCATGGAAGCCTGTCACTTGAAAGTTTAGGAATTTCATGATCTCGGGCTACTTGTGAGGCCACATCTTAACCAGGCTTTGAACTGGTTCTAACCAGCTGGTTCAGTCATGGCCGACAGTGTGAAACCCGAAAACATTCAAACTTTTAAGACTGGGGTGATCCGAATGCTAACCAGAACAGGAAAAACAGCAGGTGGAAGCCCTGCAATCGGAGACTCAGAAAACTAAGACTGTTGCCAGAACCATGAAAATACACACGCTCCAAGCATGCTGCTGGTTACCATAGGTTAAAAGGAGCATCACTGTTTCCCATTCAGTGCTATCAAGAGTTCTGGTTGCATTACCACATACACGCTACCCTTTCCTCAAGTTCCTAGCAGAGCTTCAAACTGGATTTTTCTCTGTTCAGGTTCACCTGCATTTAAAGACTTCAGGTCTGTTCTGGTGTTACTCTATTAGCTGCTGCTGATCCAGGCTGAACTGGTTTGCAGACCCGCCCCTTGGGGCCACGCTTGTATAAAGCCAGGCGTCCAGCCATGGCGGTCTTTCCTCCCCCACAGCTGCCAGAGACTCCCATCCCCACGCAGCATTACAAAGTCCCCCAGGTATGTGCTCCAGGCCACCATAACCCCCCCGCCCCCAGCCCCCCAAGATAGGTAAGAAGTTCACAGCTCACTGTAATAGAAAACCATTTGTTTAATTCTAAATCAAACCACTTTCACAATAGTGAAAATTAGTAACCGGTCGAGGAGTGCCACCATGTCTAGTGCCATCACTAGTTGGGATGGTGGGACACAAGGGTGACGAGCGGTGGGGTGGGGAAGAAACTATGAATACAGAACACATGTATATGAATGGGAAGAGACCGTAGCAGGTGAGATGGAGAGCCTGCTGTGCTGGGGGAAAGGGGTCCCCCTTGGGGCTGGAACAGCAGTCCCAAGGCAGTTCTGCTGCCCTAGCTCCTGGCGGAGAGTGAGTGAGGACTTCGAAGGTTCAAATTCAGAGTGCTGGCTTTGCTAACAGGTTCCTGGGTGTCTCTGCTAGTGGAGCTCTGCCGGCTCCCTCCTTTCAATAAAGAGTACAAAGGACCCCCCCCCCCCTTCCTACCTACAACTCACCTTTCTTCTTGAAACTCATTTCTGCTGGGTTCTTTTGACTCAAGTCCTCTCTCCTACCAGCAGGTGGAACCACTGTAGAGAGGGACCCTACCAGTCCTCTCTGCAACAAAGAATTCCTCCGAATCCAGAGCTTTTAAGTTTTTAAGTACGACAATGCTTAAAACCCTCAGGCACACAGTAGATCTGGCAGCTTATCCCTACAAATCGATTCAGCAATCGACCCATCTACTCAATACTTATATTTCATCTGTTTAAACACTGAACTCTGGTGTTGATGGACATATGGGGGGAAGGGAAAAGGGGCTGCAGGAGGGAGATGAGGGCTTGGTTTCCTCACTGTGTGGGGCCATCCTGGGGAAAAGCACTGAGTGGTGGCTACTGCTGAAGGTGGGGCAGGAACAGCAGAGCTGAAAAAGCACGAGGCCCCACTGGGTCATCCCCTCACCCTTGGGGACTCCAGGAAGAGGCTGGGTTTTCAGGAGGCGACCTGACAGGCAGAGTAAGAGTTGTTCTACAGGTGATGGGTCTTCCTGGTCAGGCACATGCCTTCAGTTGGCTAGAAGGAAGCAGCTTGTAAAACTGAAGCAAAGGCAGGCTAAGGAAGAACAATTTTCTTTGGACTCTGAGTGAAGGGAAACCACATATTGTCAGACTGCCCAGACCCCACTGTCTGGCTTGGGCAGTTGCCAGGCTGCCTGTTTTGGGGACAGATGCTTCCAGGTGGGGAATCGATCAAGCTGTTAAAAACTCAAGCTCAGGTTCTGAGCTCCTGGCAGCTCTCCCTGTCCCCGCACCATCATGAAGGACTTCTGAGGAGTGTGGTCTTCAACATGCAGCTGGGACGACGTGACAAAGCCCCGGCTTCCTGTGGGTGGGTGCTGGGAGAGGAGGTCTCAGCTGCTCCCGTGTCAGTCCCCCAGATCTGCTACTGCCTCCAATCGGCTGCATCCAGAGCCGTGAGCCTCTGCCTCAGCCATGCCCAAGCTGTGTGTCTGCTGGCAGAGAGGCAGGTGTGCCGAGTTCGGAGTCAAAGGTGGTGGACATCTGTGAATGAAGCCACGGGCTTCACAGGGATAATCTGTATCAGGAAACCTGGAGGCCATTCAAGGCCCTTTCTGGGGCCAAAGACTCTGAACAAGGCTCATAGGCAGCAAGAGGTCTCTGGTGAATTCCTCAAGTGATGGGACAAACTGCAGGGTAAGCTTCTACAATTAGGATGTTTATGGGATAGCTCTGCTGAGGAGGAGGAGGGGGAGGAACGAAGAGGGCAGAGCAGCATGGGGATGTGCAAGGGGAACCTCTCTGCATGGGGACCCCTGCTGGCTCCAGAGGCCACTTACCAAGGGGTATTTAAAGCAATGAAAGCGAGTTTCTGTAAATACCATATGGCGCATCCCTTTGTGTGTGTGATGTGAGAGACGGAGATGAGATTATGCTCTGATAGTTTGTCTTTTTGCTGTTTTCTTCCGGAGTCAGGGCCTGCTGGGCTGGCGAGCAGAGGACTTGCCACCCAAGGCCCGAGCTTATGGCAGAATGTTTACAACAGTGGCCACACTCAGGGGTCCTCATCAACTGGTCCTGAGTCCCAAAATTCTGATGGAGAAGACTCCTTTGGGGTGCAACTGGCTTCACTGATTCCAGGGGTCAGGATTAGCCAGGGAGTCAAACACCAAAAGTGGGGCTGGTGTGTCACTGGTCCAGGGGCCCTGTCATGGATGCAGGCTGGGCGTCTGACACTAGGCAATCAGAAGCCAGAACATGATCACCAGGGCCACAAACAGGAAGAGGCGTGACAGGAACTGCTCGTCCACGTACTGGGGTGTTCCAGGAACAGCTGGAGAGAAAAGAGGGAGAAGAGGGGCCATCAGAATGCTCTAGCTGTATACATACACTCACATTCTCAGTTGCAAGTTAAGAGACAGTAGCAATATTTCCTCTTCACAACAGAAACCTGAAGGCAGGAAAGTGTGCCTAACCTTTGACAAAAACTGTCTTTGGCAACACTGATGCTGAAATGTCAAACTCAACATTCCTAAAACAAATTTCTTAGGTTTTCTGACAATTGCAAAAATTCACTTAGTTGTAAAGGTATGAAAAATAAGACAAATCTTTAATCATCTCTTGCCTTGAATCTCTATTTTAAATTAAAAATTCTTGGCATTTTTCCATCTTTCTTTCTACTCTCTTCAGCTAAAATTAAGTTGCAATGATGTTACCTGGGATAATGTACTAATTATACCAATTAATAATGAAATATTTCTAGTTGCAAAGTCATTGTTGACCTGGGTATAGACTAAAGCTCTTTAAATACATTAGTTCCATCATATCACTCTCACGAAATATTCAGCAGTAAATCCCATTTTCTATTGTATCAAAGTGAAAATAGTCCTGGGTCAATTTTATAACTAAATTAGGTGATAAATCTATTCAGATTTATAAGTACATAAGAAAACACATTGAGATACCACGGCCCCCAGGAAAATGTTAATCTAAAGATTTTTCTTTGTCTTTTATCACCATAGACTGGTACTCCTCATAAGTTTTACTAGTTATGGTTGGCTAACTACTTTTCTTTGCTCTTATATTTTTAAATATTTCAATAAAGCTGTTGCTTTGTACTGTACAGTCGGAAGTGATCCATGGCTAACTCTCTGGTGGGCTTTCAGAGACAGTTAATTGCAAGTGAGGAGGTTGCTCATCCGTCTCCGGCAGAGCAGCTGGTGACCTCAAACTGTGTGCCTTCAAGATTGCAGCGCAGCTTCTTGCCACTAGGCCACCAGAGCGCCCTATAAAAGTTTTAGAAAGCTCAATAAAGTTACAGGTGGAGAAAGGCGTTTTGGCTTTTACATTTATGTCATAAAACTTGCCATAATACATTAGGAGATCCAATTATGTACAAACTCACTCTCTCTCATTGCTGTTGTGTTGATTCAGAAGTGATTCCTAACTGACCTGCCAGTGGGCTTTCGGAGGCTGTAAAGAGCCGGGAAGAGAATGCTCGTTTTTCTCCCCAGGGCTGCTGGTGGATTCGAAACACTAGAAGGGCGCTGCTTTTGCATCAGCAGCACGACTTCCTATGGACTACGCTGTCAGAGCGCAAATATATAGAGAAGACGACGACGACGACAACACCGCCACCTCCCCCAATCCTCCCACCCCCACCAATGGATGCATCTAGTGCTAACATTCTCTCAGTTCAGCTGAGCAAACACAAATAAAACTAGTCACAACTACAGGACCTGACGGCTAGGAGTCTACTGCTATAGAAAAGTCATGTAGCTTGAAAAGTTTAGGCATGTTAGAGTTTCTAACTCCAAATACATTATACAGAACAAAAATGTTCTATGACAATGAAGGTATTTATTCAGTTTATCCTAACTAAATAAGTTTGGAAAGCAAATGCAAGTAAGATAGCTAACAAGAAGCTCTTAAAGTTAAGATTAATAATTATGCTTGTTAAGTATTTGTTGTGTTCTGCATGCATCACTAGTTGATGGATAATATTACTGCCACTGTGAATCTAAAAAAAGGGCTCCTGCCCTTCCCTCAGAGTAGAGCATGTCCTGTCACATCTTCTTCCTCTGACACCACTCGTGAGCCAAGCAGGAGTTTTCAAGGAAGCCAAGGTGAGGCAGGACATTCCCAAGATTGCTCGGTGCTGCCCTAGACTCACCAGGTGCAAACTCTGATAGATTTGTGTGGGCACTGAGTCATGGAGCACATCACCTGTCGGCAATGTGCCACAGCACCAGGGCAGGGCAGGGCACAACTGGGATGATTCATGAGTAGATTACTGTTCAGAGCGGATTACTGCCTCAGGAGGATCCAGGAATGGGATCACTGTCTTCAGATCACAAGTTTCTTAGGCCAGGAAGCATATCCTGGACTTGTCTGTGCCTGCCTCATACCCATAAGCCATGAGGGATGGTGAGGGCAACCAGAACTCTTGTCATGACATTTCTGCAGGTTCTATGGGAGCATCGTAAGATTGTGGCAGAGGACCAGGCGCTCATGTCCTCACCCTGCTCCAGACCCTCACAGCTGCACCCTCGAGCTGTGGGGAGAGCTCAGCAGTGGGTGTCACACCTACACAAGGTGCCTGAAGGACTGAGGCTTGGAACCGGCCCCCTGTTGGCAGTTCTGTGGGAAGGTGTCAGAGATGCCAAAGAACAGAGAACCTGACTCCCGACGGGCTGCCTCGCCCTTCCCTGTCCCAAACTGTCAAAACAGAAGTGTGTAAGCAGGATTAAGGACTGAACGGTTTCTCATCTGGGTATGTTTTAAAATTTCCATTTTATGGACATGGGCTACGTGAGTGCTTGGGGGACAGAAAATGGAGATGACACCTGTGTCCCCCAGGGTTGCTGCAGAGATTTCACGTCTGTGATGTGGAGTGCCCTGCTGGATGCTCAGTGTCGCTGGCATGACTGTCAGCAACCTGGAAGGAGCACACACTGATTATGTGTGCAGTGACAATGACCCCCTACCTCTGCCACTCCCAAGGAGCCTTCGAGAAGGTTTATAAGATACAAGAATCCTACCTGGAGGAGGCCGCCCGTCGTTTATGTTAAATGCTGTGGCAAAAATCCCAAAGGGAAATGCTCCGATTCCAAAGGACATCTGGAAGCCACCATCTCCAAACCCGAATCCTTGAAACCCCTGTGGAAGGAACACACATGAGAAGAGCAGCAGACACCTCCTCTTGGGCCTGCCCAGCGTGGCACACCTCCCAGGAGAGATGCAGACACACGGTCCCCACCTCTCCTCCCTGTCCTGCTCCTGTTTTGGGGGAGGCACATCCACACCCCAAAGAATAACTCTGGACACCCCTAGACTCTGCCAGCCTTGGGGCCCACCTGAAGACCTGGGAATGGGCCTAAAAGGCCTGCCTCTGACACCTTGGTGGGCTGGAGGTAAGTTAAACACAACCTAGGATGCTGAGATCTTGAGGTTCTTTACCATAGGCCTACACTAGCCAGTAAAAAATACATGTTTTAATAACAGCAAAAAAAAAACCCAACCAAAAAAAAACCCTGGCTTTAATCCTATGCCCAATTACAAGGGACTATCAAAACAAACTACAAGTTTTCTACCAGAGCCAAACAGTGGAACTAATTAGTCATCAATAAGAGCCCTCACTTAGGGAGCTCTGGTGGCCTAGTGGCAGGAAGCTGTGCTGCAATCCCTAAGGCACGTGGTTCGAGGCCACTAGCCGCTCTATGAAAGAAGGATGGGCAATCTCCTCCCCTGCGATGAATTGCCTCTGAAAACCTGCTGGCGGGTCAGCTATGGGTCAGTTTCGACTCTACAGTACACAACAAAGGAGTCTTCGCTTGACTTAAGAGCTTCTTGTTCGAGACCTCCTAACCATGAGGGCCAAGTGGAGGAAAGGCGAAATGTGCTGGCTGAATGTAAAACAGTAAAGATGGGGTCCGAGTAAACGTGACCGTGTGCACTTGCAGACGCCACAGCGGCAGGAGTAGACAATGCCACAGGCTGGGGACACTGCATGTTCCTGTCCGGAACTTCTGCCGTGATGGATCTAGAACTTCAATCACCAGGAACACCTCTGAGAAGGCCACCTGCCTTCTTTGAAACCCGCCCCTTGTTGATCTGTTGCTCCGACCCATGATATTCTGGACTAACTCTGCTTAGTTGTTATTGGGTGTTAACGTGTACAATAAATCATCTTCTGCTGTCTTAGCCAAATAGAAAGAAGGAATAAAAAAAGAGATGGCTAAGATCTTGATATTGCTTTCAAGGGGCATTATAACAATGCAGCAACACAGAAAAACTTGTGATAAAGTTAGCAAAAAAAGTGGTTTGAAACCATGGCCACACTGCTCATATGTAGGTATGTGAATGTGGAGGTATGTAGCAAGGATGGCACGAAATGGAAATATGTGTGTGTGTGGGGGGAAATCACCCCAGGCTTACTGCTCTGAGACACTGGGAGCGCCCCCAATACCATAGCACTTAGTCACCCTTTAATCCTGGAACTGAAATCACCCCAGTGATTCAACTTCCAACCACCTAACACATCAAAAACACCTGGATCAACCACACACGATCCAAAAAAGACCACATTTACTCAGGTGTACAGCTCAGAAGGTTGGAAGGGATAAAAAGACAGACAAATGGAAATGGAAACACAGAAGAATGTGGGAAGAATGCCATTACAAAGGGCCAACTGCAATCAATGTCATGAAACCTAAAGTATGTGAACTGCTGAATGGGAAACCAACTTACTCTGTAAACTTTCATTCAAATGAAAAAAAAAAGTTTTTTAAAAAATGGGGCAATATGTAGGTATGTGGACAAGATATGCATATGGTTTTCTCCTTGAAAAGATTTTAATATTGCTGCATATAATTAAAAAAAAAATAGTTTGCGTTTGTTAGGTTCCAAAGTTGAGTGTGACTCACGGTGACCCTTTGAATGACAAATCTGAGCCCTGCTCCATCCTGTGCCATCACCACACTTTCCCACAGATAAGAGCCCAGGTGGCAGTCACCATGTCAATCCACTTGGATGAGGGTCTTCCTCTCCTCTGCCAACCCTCTACCCTTCTCAGCATCATTTCCCTCTCCAAGGAACAGCCCCTCCTAGCAACATGCCCAAAGTATGTGAGGCAAAGTCTTATTATCATTCTTGCCTCCAAAGAGCAATCCAGTTGCACCATCTCTGTTCCCCCTGATAATAAGAATAATATGTGCTTGCTTTAAGAAATTCACACACAACAGGAATAAATGAGGAAGACAGTCAGAGAGCGTCTTTATCACTCTACCTCAGGACAACCACAGCCAGCACACTGGCTACTGTCCTCAGCACTTTTCCCTCTCTGTATTTTCTAAACCGCACCACCGTGTATGTGAAAATAATAATACTGTGCGTAACAAAGCACCAATTGTACACTGAGCACCATGCTAAGCACTGAGATACACAAATCACATTTAATTCTTGTATTGTCACCCTGGACCTTTCACAAATTGGGTTTCCAAACCAATCTGTAATGGCCCTACAGACACAAGACACACCTGTCCAGATCCACAGGGCTCTGAAGGCTGCAATCCTCATGGAAGCAGGAAGCAGTCACATAATTTCTCTCATGGAGTGGCTGGTGGGTCTGAATTGACCCGACTTCAGGTACAGTTGAGCTCTCCCACCACACGACTTGTTATGTGCCATCGAGTTGCTTGCGACTCATAGCGACCCTAAATACAACAGCCCTGAAACCTGCTCTATCCTGTGTCAACTTTACTGTCTCTGACACTCCTGCGCCCACTACCCCAGTCACTGAGTCAACCCATCTCATCGAGGATCTTCCTCCCTTGCGCCGTCCCTCCATCCTCCCAAGCGTGACATCCCTCTCCAAGGACTGGTCCCTCCTTAGAACATGTCCAAAGTATGCGAGATGAGCACCGTCAACTGCAGTGCGCAGGTGAATGACCTTGGCCAAGTTCTAAAAGCTCAGGCAGATCTGGTCTAAAGCTGGCCCATCGGATCTAAAAACCATGCTCTTAACCACTGTGTGGATCTTTAAAAAAAAAAAAAGCCAAAAAGAAGCCCCTCTCTTTTTCCCTTCCTGTCTCATTAAAGAAAATGATTAAGAAAACTAACTTATCGGGCAACCACTCTCCACAGAGAGCAGGATGATATTCACTTGTGAGTCTTTTCAATCACAGGAGTTGCCACACGGACCCGCTGGCTTCAAGGCTCTGGCCGGGCAGCCCCAGCTGGGAAGTTTACCAGCTGACTTAATACGAGAGAAATCTTACAAAGAAGGAAAACAACCAGCTTCCTTCTCCTCGGTGCGGAAATGGCTCCTGCTCACGCCAGCGTGGAGTCTGAGGGCTCTAGGGACTGAGCGCATTACCCTGGAAGGTGCAACTGTTTCATCAGGAAGCACCGACGGGCCTGTCGGCCTCCTTCCATACAGTTCATAAATTCTCACGCGGTGGACTCACGTTCCTGGGGCCGTGGGTGTGTGTAAACCTACAGCTGTGTCCACAGGCATCTGGGCCCGAGCCTCGGCTTGTTGGGACCTCAGCTTTCTAGGTTAGAAGCTAAAGTGCTCTGTGGGGAAACAAAGCTTGGAGGGGCCACAGTGGTGTTGCCTTGTGGTCAAGACCAAGGACTCCAGTCATTGCTCGCTCATTCACTCCCATTAATTGGGGCCAACTCACAGCGACCCTTCATTGGGCTTCTCAGGCTTTAACCTGCAGTAGGAGAAGCATGCCACTCTCCTTTCCACGGAGCTGCTGGTGAACTGCTAAGCTCTGAGCTGGCAGTGTGACCGCTATGGGCTACGGGCCAAAGCTTCCTCAATCACAGCCAGATATGAGTTTCTGTCCTCTCTGTGTGACCCTGGGCAAATCAGTTCACCCCTCTGAGTCTCAGTTTCCTCATCTGTTAAATGGGTTGATGAGGCTTACAGGAGATCCTGCATATAAAGCTCTTAACAAGCAGTTCTTTGTATAGAATAACCATTCCATGAGTACTCACTGATTCTACTGTAGTTGTTGATTGTCATCGAATGGAGCACAATACCCTATAAACAAAAGACCTGAAGCCTTTTTACAAATATCATTTCTCAAACTTCATGGAATTTCCAGAGGCATGCTATTTAGGAAGAAGATGCCATACTAAAACTATTATTAAGGATAATTCAGAGCAGAGCTCAATTTCTATCAAGATCTCCAACTTGATAATTTGGATTTCTGGTAATTCTAAGGAAATACCCTAATTCACACAAGAAGAAAAAAAAGTGTATAAAAATAAGGTCACTGTAGTAATATTTATGACAGCAAAACTTGGAAACATTTAAAAGGAACTTCTAAATCAAATGTATCAAATTACAACCTTTATATATCAAATAGCAACCTTTAAAATGATAAAGAAAACAGTAGAGCATTATAGAAAATATTTACGAAGCAATGTTTAAAACTGGCAAACAGATGGTGATGACTACGGATAAGCTCCAAGTTGCGATAAACCACTTACACTTAAGATTACAGGGGTTGTTGGGTGTTTTGTGTTTTATTTTTGCGGGGGAGGGGGAACGGGGACACAGTGGTTACATCTGTATTTATGTATTAAATACATACCTGTATTTATGTATTAAGAATTTATCTGTTAAGTTTTTATGTAATGTCTTTGATGCCCAAAGACAAACAAAGATATAATGACAATAAAAGGCAGTAATAAAAAAAAATTCTTGGAAAGAAGGGTGGGTGGAGGAGAGGAAAGCAACATTGGAATAAACCTGTAAACAATCTGCGATGATGTCATAGGAAATGGAGCCCCATCCTAAGGTGGGGACCACCTAGCTGTCTATAAAAAGGTGAACACACCAAAAGAAGAGAATGTGGGGAAATGAGAATAAACTTTATACCTGTGCTAAATCCTAGCAGTGCTTTTACTCTCAAAAGTACTTCAGTGATACTTCAAGAAGAAATCATTTTTTAATACTAAGATCTAACTTAGATGTGGATATTTTCTGAGCCAGTAATGCTACTTTTCAGAGTTAATCTTAATAAAATAATTGTGAGTCTGCTCAAAGACTTCTAAGTTTATGATACCATTTTTAAAAAAGTAACAAATAATAATTGAAAAGAAAACAGTTAAGTGACCAGCCAAGAATTAGTTAAATAAATTACCTTATATACTGGACCGTTGAGTCAGAACCAACTCATAGCTGACCCTTCAGCAGGATTTAATAGGCTGTAAATCACACAGAGCAGCTGGGAGATTCAAACTGTTTGCCTTTGGACTAGCAGAGTAACTCCTTACCCACTAAGCAACTAGGGTTAGAATGGCCAGCACATAGATGCTTATATATAAGGCAAATAATACTTTAAATTACACACACACACACACACACACACACACACTCTCTTATAATAAAATTTATATCCATATATAATGACAGAGAGTGCTGATGGCTTAAAAGCATGGAGTTGTGCCGCCAATCCAAAGGCACAAGGTTTGAATCTAGCCGCTGCTCCACAGGAGCAAGATGAGCAATCTCCTCCCATGAGATGTACAACCTTTGAAAACTCTCTGGAAGAGGGTCAGCTATGAGTTGCTTTCAACACAATGGTACATAAGAATAATAGTTGTAAGAATCTGAAGTGGTACAGTGGTTAAAATATTTGGTTGCTAACAGAAAGGTTAATAAAATTGTTCTCTGTTGCCCAGTGCCACCTTGACTGCAGAGTAAAACAATGCTGACTTAAACCCTTCCCCCTGCCCGCTCCCCAGGCACTCCATGGGGCAAAAATGGAAGTTCATTATAGTCTTAGAAACCCTGTGGGTAGTTTTACTCTGCTCTATTGGGCTGATACGAGCCGGAAGTAGGGCAGAGCCACTCTCCATCGGATTTCTGATGCTTTAGGTCTTAAGGGAGGAGACTGCCAATCTGTCTCTTGCAAAGCAATGAACCACTCACCTTTCAATTAGCAGTCCAACACTTAAATCTGTGCCACCAGGGCTCATGAATAAGTAAAGACTGATGAAAAAGAAGAAAACAGCCCAACACATTTCCAGTGGTTTTCTCTGGATGCTGTAATTACAGGTGGTTTTTACCATCAGCTTTTCCTTTCTGTATTTTACAAATTTCCCTTTACTTCCCTCATCAGAGAACAAATATAATGGGCCTAGAAGGACACTTCTAAATTTTGGGCTCATTTCTAAAAGCCTCTTCTAGAATGATGCTCACCCCTCTGTTCTCTGGTTCCGGTCTCTGTCCCTGAGGACGAGGAGGAGTCTTCTCTCTGAAACAGAAATGGTGCAAAAAGAACTTTATTACAACCTGCTAAAACTTGAGGCTCTATGACCACCAGCTCAGGGTCTCTGTCCATAACCCCTTTCTCCCAATCAGTGACTGGTCTACTTGAACCTATGCTGAATTAGATCAAGTGCTAACTCTTCATTCTAGGAGCAATTTGTTTTTCATTATAGTGGGGGTGGAAATCAACTTGTTACATGAGTGGCTCACTGGATTATACTGCAGCTTATGCCTCTCCTGGAAAGCCTGATTCAGGTTGGTTATGAAACTTTTTCTAGTCACGTGGCATACAGGGTTATGGAGGCCAAGATGTAAAAAATTACAATCTAAACAGTGGTAGAGAGTAGCCTACCGGTAGAGAGAATTCAGGGTCTATGCTCTGCTAACTTTAGTTTTAACTCCCAACATGCTTAGGGAAGCAACACCCATGATTGTTTCCCAACATCCGGCAGCAATCAAGAAATTTAATGATGTTTACTGTGGCAAATCTGCTGCCAAGGACTGTTAAAGTGCTGAAAAGCAAGGATGTAATTTTAAAGACTGAGGTGCACCTGCTCCAAGACAACTGCTTCAGATCATGTGAAAACCGGACAATGAATAAAGAAGACTCACAAACTGCTCTCTCTGAATTGTGGTGATGGTAAAGACTACTGAATAGATACCATGGACTGCCAGAAGAGTAACACATGTGGCTCAGTACAAATGCAGCCAGAGTGCTCCTTAGAAGCAAAGATGGGGAGAATCATCTTAGATACTTTGAGCATGCTGTCAGGAAGGAATGTTGTCATCCTTGGAAAAGGATGGGAAAAGAAGGGAATACCTTCAACAAGATGGCTTGACCCAGCGACAGCATAAAGGAGGAGAGACTGTGAGGGTCAGGCAGGGCTGGGTAGTGCTCTGCTCTGTTGTACACAGGCTGCTATGAGTCAGGGAGGACTTGACAGACCCTAACAACAACACACTTGGGCAAAAGCATGACATCATAATTTTTACCTCTGGACTTCATCCTCCCATCACTTACTTCACAAATACCAGAGAGACTGAGGCACCTAACTAGGTGGGTCACTACCAATAATAAGATAGTATATACAGACCCTGCTCTCAAGGTGTTAATGGTTTTGAGGGGACAATAATAAGATAGTATATACAGACCCTGCTCTCAAGGTGTTAATGGTTTTGAGGGGGACAGAGCAAATGGCAATATGCTGTGGAGACAGATTCCTTTAACAGCAGTATGAAGGCACTGTGAACACAGGTGAGAACAATTAATGCAGAGAAGAGAGGAGGAGGAGGGAGAGGAAGGGGAGTGGGATAAGCAGGAACAAGATAGATGGGCGAGAAAAGAATGAAACACATTCAGGCTCATCAATGCAGAAGGGTAAATCCTCTGAACAGAAAGCCAACATGTCTCGTGGACATGGTATCCAGGGCTGGGGTGGAGGTAAATAAGAGATTCTGGAGACACTGGAATGGACAAAAACAGGAAGGACTTTCAGCTCGTGTATTTGTAGAAGGCTGGACTCACTTAAACCACCATTTCTAGAAATTCCTAACTCTTATTAACAGCTCAACAAACATCCTGGACAGGGTGAAACCAGGCTGCTTCATGAAGGTAAGGACTCTGAGGCTCCGTCTGACATACTTTCAGCATGTTGCAAGGAGGGACCAGTCCTCGAAGAAGGACGTCATGCTTGGGAGGGTGGAGGGGACAGTGCAAGAGAGGAAGACCCTCGATGAGATGGATTGATTCAGTGACTGGGGTAATGGGGGTGGGTGTGTCAGAGAAAATATGGCTGGCACAGGATAAAGCAGGGTTTAGGGCTGTTGTACATCGGGTTACTATGCGTCACAAGCGACTTGGTGGCACTTAACAACAATAACATTAACGTCTCAGAGTCTTCTCCACTGCACTCCATACATCTTCTATACCAGTGCAGCAACCTCACTTCTTGGAGACTCCAGCTGTACATGCAGTTTCCCAGACTGCCCCTTCACACATCTGCCACTGTGAGGCCTTCTGCATGGCTGGGCCTCGGGCCAGGACAGTGCCTGCCCGCTACTATGCATTCAGTGGGTATCTATCTCTATTACAGCCCAGCAAGAGGCTCCCTCCTCTCTAAGCTGGTTCCCACCTGGAGCTGGCTGCCTCAGAACTGAGTGCTCAGCTAGTCTTAAGTAAAGGAAGTGATTTCCCATTCAAAGGAGGGAGAGATTGTGAGAGGGGCTCCCAAGTCCTTACCTGGGGTCCTGCTGCCCAGTGCTGCCTCGGCCGTAAAGCGGGATGACCTTGTCTCGGCTGATGCCGGCTTTGCAAACTGGACACACCTGTCTGTTAGGTCTGGTCTCCAACCACTGCAAGCAGAGCAGAAATACACGAGTGGCTCCAAGTTGGTCAGATGCAGAACAGGTGACAGATGGCTGAGAGGAGGGCCGGGGAGCACAAACCAGGAAATAAAAGCACAACTGGGGAATCCACCGTGGAACCGCCTCCCTTCGGTTCCTGCTCTTGGCACTCAGTAAATATTTACAAGTGGGGAAATCAAAATTACTTTTAAATACCATCATCATTAAACAGGCTTCTTCACACTTGGCCTCTCTCTAGGGACTCCCAGCAATTGCACGAGGAAAGCACTGCCAGCTTGGGGCCACATATGTGGCCTCAGTTGATTCAGGTGCTGCGGTAGGTGTATTGAAACCTGACTTTTCCTGGTGCTCAACTGTTCTGCCCCAGTAGTCCTCCTCTTCTTTCTCTGGTCACCACATCTTTCCAGTGATTCATTACGGGCTAAAAAGACAGGTCTTGTTTTTCTCTTGTTATTATTGTGTCAAATGTCTTCGAGTTGGGCGTGACTCATAGTGACCCTATGAACAAAAGGTCTAAAGCCCCTCTACAACTATCAACGTTTATCCAAGTTCACACAGTTTCCAGAACCATGTTATTTAGGAAGTGGATGCCACTCCTGCTACCAAACCTGTCATCGTATGTTACTGTTGTTATGTGCCACTAAGTCACCTGGGTCATGCCCTATGTACAGCAGCTCGGAACCCTTCCCTGTCCTGAGCCAGTCTCACTAGTTCCGACACACTAACCGCCATTGCCTCAGTTACTGTATCAATCCATCTCATCTGGGGTCTTCATCTCCTGCGCTGTCCATCCATCCACCCTTCCAAGCATGATGTCCTTCTCCAAGGACTGATCTCTCCTGGCCACGTGCCCAAAGTGAGTGAGATGGAGCTTCAAAATCCTAGCCTCCAAGGAGAGATTGGTTTCACCCTCTCCAAGACAGATATATGTTTTCCTGGCAGTTCATGATATGTTCAGGACTCTTCTCCAGCACCACAACTTGAAGGCATCTATTCTTCTGTCATCCTTAGTCATTGTCCAGCTCTCTGATGCATAGCAAGTAACTGAGAAGACCATGGCCTGGATTAGATGCACCTTTGTATCTTGACTGACATCGTTGCTCTTCAGCACTCTGGAGAGGTCCATGACAGCTGATTTTCCCAAAGCAATTCCTCTTTTGATTTCCAGACTATGGTGACGATCTTTTCCCTTTTTTTTTTTAAGATTTTAATGAACGTTTAAAAGAACTTGGATTTCCATTCATTCATTCATTGTTGCACATTTTCCTCCCTGTCCCTCTACCCCCTAGTTCGCTGTTCTTTCATTATTATAGTTACCCCCACCCCCGGACCACTTTACTATGTAACTCTTGTTCTGGACTGTTGTCAGGCCAATAATACTTAATCATATATTTCTTTTATACAGTTCTCTTCCTCGTCTGTTTCAATGCAGTTTACATTATTTATCCCCTCTTAGTTTCACTTCAACCCTCATATCAGTCCTGTTCTAGAACAGTGGCATTATGCAGTGTTTGTCTTTTTGTGACTGAGATATTTCACTCAGCATAATGCCCTCCATGGTCATCCATTTTGTATATTTCCTGAGTTCTTTGTTTTTCATGCTGCATAATATTCCATTGTGTGACTATACCACAGCTTTTCTATCTGTTTGCTAATGGGCATATGGGTTGTTTCCATCTCTGCTATTGTGAACAAAGCCGCAATAAACGTGGGTGTGCATATATCTGCTTGGGTGGCAGTTCTGGTTTCTTTAGGGTGAATCTTTGTCTTCTTGATGTTGGGCTTTAATCCATATTTAAGACTACAGTCCTTGACCTTTTGCAGCAGGTGCTTCAGGTCTTCCTCAGTTTCAGGTAATTCCACATACTTCTTTCCATATTAAAAAACCTAGAGTCCTACTGTGGGTTTCCCAGATCTTTGCACTGGTGGTATTAAAAATATTTTAACTTTCTCAAAAACATAATATGAAATATATTCTTTGTAATGTCTCTGTAAGGGAACCCTGGTGAGGCAAAGGTCAGGCATACAGCTGTAAACCTAAAGGTGGACAGCTCCACAGGAGGAAGATGTGGCGATCTGCTTCCATCAAGATTTCCACTCGGAAAAGCCCAGTAGGCAGTTTTCTGTCACATGGGGCTGCTATGAGTAAAAATCAACTCAGTAGCATCCAAAAATAGCAGTACTTTAATGTTATGTTCTTTAACGTTGTTATGTACTATCAAGTCACAGGCAACTCTTAGCTGATCCTCTAGTGAGTTTTCAGAGGCAGTGAACTTCACAGTGGGGGGTAGGGGTGGAAATGCCCATCTTTCCCCTATGGAGCAGCTGGTGGATTCAAACCACATACCTTTGGATGACTCCTTACCATACGCCACCAGAGCTCCCTAACAATACTCTGTTGTTGTGTACTGTGGAGCTGGAACCAACCCACAGTTGACCCTCCGGTGGGTTTTCAGAGGCAGTAAATCACATGAGAGGAGACTGCTCATCCTTCTCCTACAGAGCAGCTGGTGGCTTCAAACCACGTGCCTTCGGAACTGCAGCGCAGCTCCTTGCCACTAGGCTACCAGAGTTCATAATGATACTTTGTTGCTGTTGTTGATGATTGCCTTTGAGTCACAGTGACCTTGTGAACAACAGGCCTAAAGCCCCTAAAGCACGAGGTTCCAATCTATCAGCTGCTCCTCCATCTATCAGCTGCTCCACAGAGGAGGATGGGCAAATTTCTCCCCCAGGCGATTAAGTGCCTCTGAAAACCTGCTGGAGGGTCAATTCCAACTTGATGGCAAACAACAACAATTACTCCCCTTGAGTTGAATTCCAACTCAAGAAAACCCTCCAATAAGTTTCTGAGGCTGTAAATCCTTACAGCAAGAGGCTACTTCCTTGTTCTCCAGTAGAGTGAATGGTAGATTTAAACCACTGACCTTCAGACAGGCAGTTAGCAGACAAGCATATAATGCACTAAACGACAAAGGCTCTGTGTGTGTACACACACATATACGCCCATGTACACACACGTTGCTGGCGTTAGTGTCATTTGACTTGGGGACAGGAGAACTGCTCCACAGGGCTTTCAAGACTACAATCTTTTTTTTTACGTGGTTTTTGGTTGTTGTTGTTGTATTATTATTATTACTTGCGTGTGCGCGCGCGCGTGTGTGTGTGTACCGTCAAATCTGATCTGACAGGTACAGGAGGAGATTGTCCATCCTTCTCCAGCAGAGCATCTGGTGGATTCGAACTGCGTATACAATCGTTTTTTTGGAAGCAGATTGTCAGGCTTTTTGGCCCACATCACCTCGGTGTATGTTCGATCTGCAAACTGTTCAAATATGAGTCTACTGCTTAACTATGTGTACCACCAAGAACCCCATATACATGTGGCAACATTTATCTGAGAACATCTTTAGGTCCAATGATCTGAAGCTTATAAACTCAAATCTAGGGCTTCACGACTCTGGAGGGTTTTTAAAAACCTTTCTTAAAAAAAATAAACAAAACACAACAACAAAAGAAAACAACTGCATTTTGAGTGAAAATTTATAGCAAATTGGTTCTCCATCCAACTATTCAGATGCTATTTTGCTTTATGGTGTCAATAACAAAACCTACCTGCCTGCTTCCTCCCTGTAATGCTTATTCCAATTAATCCTTCTATCCCACCCCTTCCTGCTGAGTTTTATCCCTCAGCAAACACTGGCCCTCTAACCATATATGTTTTATTTTCTTCCCCCGACCAAAGGGAAAGTGCTTCCTTGTCAGTTAATAGGCCTGTCTATTTTCTGGCTGAAAGCTGAGCCATAGGGGTGAATTTAATTCCAGGTTCAAAGGTCACTAAGCGCCACAGCGTCAGGGATTCTGCCAGTCCTATCAGAACAGCAGGCATGGCCGCTTTATGATTTTGAGTTCTGTTTCCTATTTTCCTCCCACTCTGTCCTGGACCATCTACTGTGACCTCTTTTAGAGCACTCAGCTGGTAGTCAGTCACTATCTAGGCTCCACCTCAGATGGACTCTCAACAGCCCTGAAGACCTTGTTTCACCAAAGCAGAATGTAAAACATTTTATCTGTGAACTATTTTATGCCAAGTGACCTTGATGTCCCATAAGACCATGGTCCTGAGGCCCTAGAGCCAGCAATCATTCCCTCCTGGTGTTTGGTTACAATTAAGAAGTTTACATAACCCTGCCCCCTGTTGGGTCTACTATAAACATGGATATATTTACAACACATACAAATATGAATGTAGAAATAACATCTGCCAAACCCAAGTGTGGCTGGGTGTAGTCCCTTTCACCACCTGTGTCTGTTTGTCTTGACTGCAGCACCATTTAATGATTTCATATTCTACTTCCTTTATCTGATAGTGGATGTGTCCGAAACCTACGTGTCAGGCTCATTTCAACAACATAGCTGATGTGTTCTACCAAGCTTCACACGAGTCTAAATGTGGAGCTCAGGATACCACAGGAATGTCCCCTGCTCCCCTCGTTCCTTTTTCCATTCTGGAAACCTGTGGCCAGCCCAGCCCCATTCCTGGTCCACTCATGAGTGTAGAGCTCTAGAGTCTTAAAGAGATTGTTGTTGATGCCTTTGAGTCGAGCACGACTTGTAGCAACCCTATGAACAAAAGGTCTAAAGACTTTCTATAACTATCGACATTTATCAAAGTTCATAAGAGTCATGTTGTTTAGGAAGCAGATCCCAGATAAATGTGACCACCAGGTCCTACTCAGTATCACATACTGGGGGCCTGGGTCTCAGTGAACACTAACTGGTTTGCATAAAAATCTAAAGCTGGAAAGATGGACTTCTCTCAAAGCAGATTTTTGTTAATTTCAAAAGGCCACCTTCCTAAATCTCCAAGACCTTTAAGGGGTGGAGGGAAAGGCATCAAAAAACCTAATGCCATTGAGCAGGTTCTGACTTAAATCCATCCTCCATTGGGTTTCTCAGGCTTAACTGCAACAGGAAGAGACTGCCTATTTTTCTACCACAGAGCTACTGGTGGATTTGAACCATCAGAGATACAGCCTTTGGGCTAGAAGCACATCTTGCTACAGATTATGACACCCAAGTCCCAACCAGTAATGTCACTGTTACAGTGGTACCATCAAGTCAGAACCAATCCACAGCTGACCCTCTGTAGGTTTTCAGGGAAGTTTAATCATCTGCACTGGAGAAGCCTGCCCATCCTTGTCCCATGGAGCGGCTGGTTGATTAGAACCATGTGTCGTAATTGGTAATAGGAGATGCTTTTTATAAAGATAGAATCTCACAAACAGAAGACCTAGTACATCACCAAATCCAACCCGATTTACAAATGAGGAACTGAGACCTAGAGAGGTGGTGACATGCAAGGCACACAGGCCATCAGACCATCCCGGGCCCTTATTTTATGAAGCGCCTGTCAGAGGCAGATGTGTGAAGAGGGCTGGAGGGTACATGAAGCAAATGAGCCCACAAGCAGGGGAGATTGCAGTTCCTGACGGCAGTCTCCTGAGACCAGTGGTGTATTGTGTAACTGCAGCTGATGAAAGCCAAAGTAAAATAAAATGCATCTTACCTGATGTAAACATGGCCAACTGTCAGAGTCCCCAGGGCAACGAGTCATCAAAGATAAAGGGAAAAAAGAAAGAAGAAAAAAAAAATAATTAGCAGACCATCATTAGCAGAAATGCTGACAGTGGGGCTGGGGCAGCTGGATGGGAAGACGGGGTGAGACCGTGGAAAACTGCAACCCACAGTGGGGGGGTCAGACTCTCTCCTACAGTCATTTTCACTGAGGATCCTGGGGGCACTGAATCAGATATCAGGAGGGAAAAATCACCAGAAAAGTGAGGCAATGGAGACAAGATACCAGTCCCCACCCCTGGGGTCTCACCCTGGGATTGCTGGAGAGGCCCAGGCCAACTCAGACCCCTTCCGTGTATTTCCACTTAGAGGGGTTACAGCCTCTGAAAGCATCCAGTACCCAGTTAGGACCCTCTACACAGAATGACCTAGGCATGTGCTCATGCATGCACACACAGTTTTACTCTTTGTCAGTGGACTCGCTGGCTCCTGAGGAATGTGTAAGGATGTGTGGACAATCAGCGAGCCCAGACTCAGCCTGGCCATGCCTCCAACTGTCCTCAGATTTGAAAGCTTTGCTGACAGGAATGTGCACAGGAGGCCAAGCTCACTCGAAGAATATTTTAAAGTGACGGGAAATAGGGAATGCCTGCTGGCAGAAAGGGCTAGGCTTGGCTTGGTGAGGTAAGCCAGAGATTGCTGCCCAGTCCCTCATTTCACCAGCCCTCCTGCTCACTGTCCTCTGTCCTCCAGCACTGCATGCATGAAATGACGCTGACTTAACGGAGCTTTAGCATCTCTCTAATTCTATGTGTGAGGACAGTGGAAAACGTAAACACAGTTTCTGTCCTTCATGTAACATGCATCTGTTCCAGCTGAGAAACGTTCCACCACCTTCCCACAGAAATGCAGCCTCACAAGTCCCGTACAAAATGTCCCTATCGGAACAAGTGCCTGACGCGCAACCCCAATGTTAACTTTACAACCCTATTCCAAGCTGAGCTGAGAGCACCCCAAACCACCCCAGAACTCCCCTGACAACCCCCTAAGGCTGTCGGAAAGAAGCAGAGGTGCCTGACTGGTCTACAACTGTAACAGCAATTTCCCCCACTTAGTAAGGGAGCCCCAGTGGCACAATGGGTTTAGTGATGGGCTGCTGTGACCCAGGGCAGTTCACACCCAGCAGAGGCTCTGCAGGGAAAAAGATGAGGCAGTTTGTTTTTGTAAAGACTTTTGTCACTGAAAGGTCACATTAACCTATGGTGAGGTGTAATTATCTCCATTTTCTAGAGGAGACTTTGTGTTCTTCCCAACAGCAGCCCCCTGCCTGTCTTTGTAGCTCATTTCCAAGGACGGATTTCAGGATACTCTAGAGTACCTAAAATTTTAGGACAGGGCTGATCACAACATGCTGTTGTTGTTATGTGCTGTCGAGTCGCCTGCAACTCATAACAACCTTATGTAGATCATAACACACCTGCTAAAAACTTAACGATTAGGGCAAGAGTCTCCTGGACAACTGTCTCTGTCTTATTCTACTCACCCATCAATACGTTTATTTCTTTTCTCTTTTACATGGTTGTAAAAAAAAAATTCTGGTCTCAGGGAATGTCCTTTGGGCATACTCTTCCCTTCACTTACCCACCTGATCTTTCAAAGGTCCATTCAAAATCTTAAGAGAATCTGAGCCAAGAGGGGGCTTTAGGATCAGACACTGACAGTGTCTTTCATTTTGATGAACATAAAACCTAGTCAAAGTTATGAAAAGTATCGTTAAAACACAGCATTTACTGTTTGCATCAGGAACAGAAGACTTCAACAACCTGCATTATGCGGATCACACAATCTTGCTTGCAGAGAGTGAACAAGACCTGAAGCAGGTCTTACTGAAGAAGGTAAAAAACCTCTAACTTTCAATATGGGTTACATCTCAACAACAAGAAAATAAAAATCCTCACCACTGGGCCAAAAGGGAACATCATGATAGATGGGAAAAGGATTGAGGTTGTTAACTATTTCATTTCACTTGAATGCACAGTAAGTAACTATGATAGCAGAAATCACAAAACTTAAAACAATTAGACGTACTTGTGTTTTAACAAAGTAAGAATTTGTTTTTGTTGTATTAAAAAAAAAAAGAAATCACAAAACATGTTGCATCTGGGAAATCTGCTGTCAAAGACCTCTCCAAAGTGCTAGAGAGCAACGATGTCAGTTTAAAGACAAAGGTGCACCTGATGCAAGCCATGGTATTTTCAATTGCTTACTACGCATCTGAAAGTTGGAGAAATAATGCTTTTAAATCATAGGAGAAATAACACTTTTAAATTATAGTGTTGGAGAAGAATATTGAATATATCATAGATTGTCAAAAGAATGAAATCTGTCTTGAAGGAAATGCAAATAGCATACCCTTAGAGGCAAAGGTGAGAAACTTCATCTCACATACTTTGGGCATGAAGTGAGTCCTTGGAAAAAGACATCAAAGTGGGAAAATTAGAGGATCAGCAAAAGAAAGGAAGATTCTCGACAACACAGACTGACAGTGTGCTATGATGCAGGGCTTGAGGAGGACAGAGATCATGAGAAAGGCGAGCACAGGGAAAGGCTCAGATCTGTTCTTGGGTTGCTGTGTATCACAAGTGACTTGAAGGCACCTAACAACAACTACTCACTCTTCTAAGTCTTTTGCACATGTCAAGCCACTTACTACTCACAAACCACCCTGTAAAATGAAGCACAAAGTAAAAAGTACCTTATGTACGGCCCTCCGGTGAGGATTCAGGTGCCAGATTCACAAGGAAACAGCCTGGCTCCTCAGCCCTTGCTCACAACTATTATCCAGTGTTTCTGCTCAGCAAAGCACACAGGAAGTGCTAACTTGCTATTTTCTTGTAAATATTTTCTCTTTAGAGAAAGGGACATGGGGCCCAGAGTAGGGACACGACTTGCCCAAGGTCACCTAGTTCATCAGTAAAAGAGCTGGGGCAGGAACTTGGGTCTCTGGCTTTTTAGGCTTGAGGGTATCTGAACTCAAAGTGATTCGGATGCCCTTCTGCTCTAAAACAGCTCAGGACACATGCTTCCTAAACTTGGCAAAGGGTCCTCCGGGGCAGGAACAGGGATACTGACCAGAAGAGATGGCCACACAGGCTGATGACGGCGTCCTTGGCTGTGTCCAGGCAGATGTTGCACTCGAAGGTGCTGTCCTGCCCTCCGCTCTCACCAGCACCGTTGCTGCTCCCACTGGGCCCCCCTGCGCTGGAGTTCTCCGGGGGTTTGGAGGCCGATGGCCCCTTGCTCGCCATCCTTGGCCGTCAGCTAAGCTTTGAGGTGAAGAGTCTCTCCAGGAGTCTTCAGGAAACCCTGAAAGGCAGACAATCCTTAATTGGCCATTTCTGTAGCCCTCCTCTCATTTCTTGGGAGCCAGAAATCCTGACAATGACTGAGCCCTTGAGCAGACTTCCTAGAGGGTGCAGAGGAGGGTAGCTGTCCAGGGCTAGCTGGAGGGTAATGACTCAGGAACTTCCAGAGAACACAGCCCTTGCAGTACCAAACACAAGAGCACCGACACAGAGTAGCCTCCAGATGGCTCTCCACAGCCACTGGGACCCTGTCTTAATTGCCTTTGCATTCTCTATGATAACCAACCCAGGTGGTAAGCATCACATGGTTGGTCCAGGCTGTGCTTCAACTGGCACAGCCCTTTATCACTGGGTAAAAAGCTGTGCTGCAATCCCAAACACATTTGGTTCAAGGCCACCAGCTGTTCCATGGGAGGATGGTAAATCTCCTCCTGTGTGACTAACTGCCTCTGAAAACCCGCCAGAGGGTCAGCTATGGGTCAGTTATGACTCCAGTACCCAACAACAATAATCTGTTCAGGCTGCGTATGACTGGGAGATGTCTGACTATAAGGGAAATCCTGAAAAGATAGTGATGAGAAGGGCTAGAAATACCCCTTAACCCAGAGTCTCCTACACTTCAATCTTTTGTGTTCCTCCTCTGGCGTGTCAGAATGCTACCTGCTTTATTTTGTTTAAATCTTATCAACTTGTCAGCCTTAATACATTTAAAGAAGCAGCTTGTAACACTGTAAATGGAAAATTAGTATTATTCACCATAAGCAAAAGATCAACAAAAATGCAATGAGGGGAATACTGCTTATCTTCACATCACCTGATGTCATCTGGCATACTCATACATGCTTTGGGGAAACTTAATCTCATTTGATCTACTCAGGGAACTGGGTCTGAGATGGCTCAGCTCGCTCACAGGTGGGGGTTAAGACTGGGACTGGAGACACTGATTTACTTTCAAACAACTGGTATACTACTGACCGAGCTAACCGCAAGTGCAGGCAGAAACAGCATTGTTGACTACTTCCCCCAAGTCAGACATTCTGGCCAGCAGTCAAACCAGTGGGAAGAGATAAACTCCAACAACATCCAGAATCTGGCCACTCTTATCATCTCAGAAATTCCAAGTAGGAATGCTAGCTGGGTACCAGGACATGCGGATGCTGGCCCCAGCGCAGCCTCTAGGTTGCTAAGTGGTTTCTGGAATGCCCCTTCCCTGAGTCAGTTTTCTCACTGATAAAAAATGAAACCCAGGACTGGATGGTCTTCTCACTGTTCCCCCCAGCTGAGACCCTGCTGTACCAGGTCATCTCACCATTCCAAAGTGGGTAGCCCTTTATCCAATGTAGGACTCACCAACGGAGTGCTGGAACTGGTCTTTCTCAAGCTTCCAAAGGATGAGGAAATAAAGACTAAAAATTCAGTCTTCTCGGACTAAGAGACCTCCGTTGTACTGTACACTCAGAGTTCCCAGCTCAAATGCATACCTTGCAACAGAGACTGGTGACTGGAGCAGGGAGAGGAGGTCATTCACCGCCGAGTTTTCACTCAGTTACATCATTTTACGTTATGTCCCAGAAGGGCAGCTGGTTGCTCGCAGCACCAGAGACTTGCTGGTCTCAGCTCCAACACCTTCTCTTGACCTGATGCTTCCTCCTCTCCACAAAACATCTTCTCCTGGATGGAGCTTCCTTGATCCAGCTAAAGTACCCCAACTATCCAACTCAAGTATGTTTCTCTGTGTGTGTGTATGTTTTAAAAGGATGCTTAAAATTCAAGGTTACATGTACAAATGTAAAATGACAACCATAAAAATATTGGGCTTACTGGTCAACCTTAAAGTTACTAAAAGCAGCCCCAGCTTGTAACATGGTAACAGAAGCCCACTGTTCCACCAATCAAATACCCTCATGTCTAAGCACAGACATTCTAAAATGAACTATACATTTACAGAAAGCATGGAGGAAAAAGGAGTAGGAACAATGCTGTGAATCTGACACACCTGGAATGGAGAATCTGATGCAGGACAAATAACCCAGATTCTTCAAAAAATTAATAATAAAGACAAGAGGAGGATGAACACTGCAGGGAGTTAACAGGCTGAGAACAGACAGACCATCCATTTTTGGTGTGCAGATCTCACTAAAAATGCTTGCTAAAATGAGTGACAAAAGTGGATTTGGTTTAGATGCTAATCTATATTTAAAAAATGAGTTAATATTAATTTTGTTGGGCATGCTAATGATAGTATGTAATCTTTAAAAAAACTGTCTCACCTGCTGCTGCTGTTGTTGTCTCAGGGTGACCCGATGAACAGCTCTGAACAGTGCCCCATCCTGAGCCAACCTCACTGTCTCTGACACACCTGACCCCACTGTCATAGTCACTGTGTCAATCCATCTCATCCAGGGTCTTCCTCTCCAGCGTTGACCCTTCACCTTTCTAAGCATGATGTTGTTCTCCAAGGATTGACCTGGCCCCTCCTGACAGCACATCAAGAGTATGTGAGATGGAGTTTCATCATCCTTGCCTCCAAGGAGCAAGCTAGTTTCACTTTTTCTAGTATAGACCTGTTTGCTCTCTTGGAAGTCCATGGTGTGTTCAATACTCTTCTTCAAGACCATAAGTCAAAGGCATTGATTCTTCATCTATCCCTATTCACTTTCCAGCTCTCAGATGCATAGGAAGCAACCAACAAGACCACGGCCTGGGTCAGGCACATCTTAGTCTCTAGACTGACGCTGCTGCTCTTCAGCAGTGTGGAGAGGTCACTGAGAGCAGATCTTCCCAGTACAACTTGTCTTTTGATTTTCTCACTGCTGGTGCCAAATGTGTTGTCTGTGGAACAGAGCAAGAAGAAATCATTAACAATGCCAATCTTCTCTCCATCTATCATGATGCGGCCTACTGGCCAGGTGGTAAGGATTTTTGTTTTCTTGATGTTGAGATGTAATCCATACTGAAGGCTACATTTCTTGGTCTTCAGCAAACAGTTCAAGACCTCTTTCGTTTTGGCAAGCAAGGTTGTGTCATCTGTACAACACAGGTTGGTTGATGAGTCTTCCTGCAATCCTGATGTGACATTCTTCTTCATAAAGTCCAGCCTCTCAAATGATCTCAAATGATCAAATTCAGCATATAAACTGAAAAAAGTACAAAGGATACACCCCTGATGTATTCCTTTCTTGATTTTGACCCACATAGTGTTTCCTTGCTCTGTTAAGACAATAGCTTGTTGGTCTAGGTATAGATTTCGCCTGAGCACCATCAGGTGTTCTGGGATCCCCATTTTTCTCAATGTTAGTCACAAGTTGTTGTGATCTACACGGTAAAATGCCTTTGCATAGCCAATAAAACCTCCTTCTGGTATTCTCTGATTTCAGCCAAGATCCATCCGACATCAGCAGTGATATCCCTAATACCATGGCCTCTTCTAAATTCAGCTTGTATTTCCGGCAGTTCTCCATTGATGTACCAGTCTAGTAATTTTTGGATAATCGTTAGCAAAATTTTGCCTGCATGTGACGTTTGTGATATTATTCAATAATTTCCACATTCTGTTGGATCATCATTTTGGGAAATGGAAATAAACCTTGAACCTTGTGTCATTCTCACATTTCCTGACACACTAGAGCCCACTGCAGCAGTCACTGTGTCACTTCACCTGGCTGAAGGTCTTCCTCATTTTGCAGACCCTCCACCTTTCTAAGCATGATATCCTTCTCCAAGGAAAAACCTCTCCTACCAACTCCAAGGAGTACTCTGGCTGCACTTTCTCCAAAATCTGCTTGTTCTTCTGGAAATCCATGGGATGTTCAGTACTCTTCTCCAACACCATAGCTCAAAGGCATGGTCATTCCAATCATTTGCTACACACCTGAGAGCTAGAAAATGAATAAAGATGACAGAATAAGAAATGATGCCTTTGAGCTGTGGTGCTGGAGACATAATTATTTTATATGTGTGTGTGTGTGTGTGTGTGTGTGTGTGTGTATCATATAGTTATATATATATATATAAATATATAAAATCTTCCCTAAGGGAGCTCTGGTGGCCTAGTGGCAAGAAGCTATGCTGCAATCCCAAAGGTGCGCAATCTGAATCCATCAGATGCTCCGCTGGAGAAGGAGGGGCAATCACCTCTTGTGCCAGTCGGATCTATTAGATGGTACACAACAAGAAAAACAAACAAAAAACTCCCCAATCCACACCCCAAAACAATCTTCCCTGAATGTTCCTGTTTTCCTCCATTTTGAAAAACTCTTGAGTTCAAGTCCTGACTCCATCACATGTGTCCCCACATGTCCCCTAAAGGCTTGACTCTTTTCTCACCTGAGAAGTGAGGTGCCTCCTACAGGGCAGCTCAGGTGGTCCCATGACTACCTGTGGCCCAGAGGCCCTCCTAGCTAGGACGGTTATTGTTGCTGAGGTGTTTCATATGTGCCACCTCCCCACGTCTTCTGCCCTCATTTCCTGAACTCACCCAGGTTCTACCCTGCCTGTGTACATGCTTACACAAAGGCACGAAGGGCCAAGTGGGACAGCCATGTAACAAGCCAGTTTAGCATTTTCAGGAAGGGGCAGTCTTGTGGCAAGCTAGCGCGGCAAGCTCAGCACTGGGACAGGCCTGCTTTCTAGTCTGCATGGACTAACTGTCAGCAGACCACGGGATAACATTGCTCTCATTCCAAGTAGTCTGACCACATGACCCCCGGACAAGGTCCTGGAGCCTCATACTAGTAGGCACTCAAGTATGTGCTGAGTGGGTGGATGCTGGCATGCATGGTGGATTTCAACTTCCTGGTTGACAGCTCACAAACGTCTCTTTGAATCATAATTTGGGGTGCAGAGCAGGACACTCATCCCTGGAACCTCCTCACCTCACTTCACCCTACTTCCAGAGTGGCATGGTGCAGATGAGCACCATCTCAAGGGAGCTGTCCACTGAACCCCCACAGGTTCACAGAATGGGGCCAACAGTCTCAATGGTCC